ACAGTGTCAAATGAAATGTCACAGAACATTAGTGTAAGTATAAGGTGATTTAGTGCTGGGTAACCCCATAACTTTCCTCTTTTACATTGGTGGTCCCAACCCCCCTTTACGCCTACTACCACTCAGTTCAATAGGATAAATAATTTTCTCATCTGTGCTACATGCTAGTGACAACACAATGGCTTAAACAAGCTTGGATCTCAACTTCTTTCGAATAATGAATAATGCAAATATTTGATTATTACACATTTCATAGCTTTCATAAAGTGAAAACCTGCATAAACATATAGGCTATAGTTTAAATGCATATAGTGAGTTTATAGACAAGATTTAGTATAGTTTTAGTGGCTAAATAAACAATTTAGTCTTTTTTCTGGGATAATTTGATAGAACTGACATTGTATAACTTTCAAAACTATATCTGCCATTTGTCAATATCTCTTTGTTGCTGTTACTTAATTAGCCTACTGTCTAATGCATTCTCCAGATAAAAGTATTATTTTCCTTAGAAGTTCCTTTTCATCCAAACCACCCAGAGGTATATATATCCCTCATCTGCTGCTTTCAGTTTGAACTGAATTGCAAGTTCATGCTTTCTGTGTGCCATCTGTTACAATCTGAGCTGCTCTCAGCCAAGAGAACCCTTCATTTCAGCACCTAGCACTGAATAGGAGCACTCACAGTCATACACAGAAGCATCTGCCAACAATATTTCAGCCAATTCAGAAGGCCAGTATATTAGCTGAATATATATATATATATATATTATGTATATTATTAGGGCTGCACGATAAATCGCATGCGATATTTAACGCACAATAATATTATGCTGAGTTTTATAATATTAGGCTACTGCAAATGCCCTTCACCGGATGAAACATCCTCAAACTATTTGGCAGATCCTAAAGAGAGGATCCCTGTTGACATTTAACTGTAACATCTTTTCAGAGGCAAACACATTTCTAATGACTCCACAGTGTCAAATGAAATGTCACAGAACATTAGTGTAAGTATAAGGTGATTTAGTGCTGGGTAACCCCATAACTTTCCTCTTTTACATTGGTGGTCCCAACCCCCCTTTACGCCTACTACCACTCAGTTCAATAGGATAAATAATTTTCTCATCTGTGCTACATGCTAGTGACAACACAATGGCTTAAACAAGCTTGGATCTCAACTTCTTTCGAATAATGAATAATGCAAATATTTGATTATTACACATTTCATAGCTTTCATAAAGTGAAAACCTGCATAAACATATAGGCTATAGTTTAAATGCATATAGTGAGTTTATAGACAAGATTTAGTATAGTTTTAGTGGCTAAATAAACAATTTAGTCTTTTTTCTGGGATAATTTGATAGAACTGACATTGTATAACTTTCAAAACTATATCTGCCATTTGTCAATATCTCTTTGTTGCTGTTACTTAATTAGCCTACTGTCTAATGCATTCTCCAGATAAAAGTATTATTTTCCTTAGCAGTTCCTTTTCATCCAAACCACCCAGAGGTATATATATCCCTCATCTGCTGCTTTCAGTTTGAACTGAATTGCAAGTTCATGCTTTCTGTGTGCCATCTGTTACAATCTGAGCTGCTCTCAGCCAAGAGAACCCTTCATTTCAGCACCTAGCACTGAATAGGAGCACTCACAGTCATACACAGAAGCATCTGCCAACAATATTTCAGCCAATTCAGAAGGCCAGTATATTAGCTGAATATATATATATATATATATTATGTATATTATGTATGTATATTACTATATATTACTAAGACTGCATTTGATTGGAAATACAGTAAAAAAGGTAATATTATTACAAATAAAGTAACTGTTTTCTTATATATATATATACTGTGCTGTGAAAAGGTTTTTGCCCCCTTCCTGTTTTTTTTAATTTTTGCATATTTGTCACACTTAAAAGATTCAGATAATCAAACAAATTGTAATATTACACAAAGATAACCTGAGTAAATACAAAATGCAGTTTTGAAACAATGATTTCACTTATTAAGGGAAAAGTCGTGGCCTAATGGATAGCGAGTCGGACTTGTAACCCGAAGGTCGTGGGTTCGAGTCTCAGGTCCAGCAGGGATTGTAGGTGGGTGGATTGAATTACCAGCGCTCTCTTCCACCTTCAATACCACGACTGAGGTGAGACCCTTGAGCAAGGCACTGAACCCCCAACTGCTCCCCGGGCGCCGCAGCATTGGCTGCCCACTGCTCCGAGTGTGTGTTCACTACTGTGTGTGTGCGCTTGGATGGGTTAAATGCAGAGCACAAATTGTGGGTATGGGTCACCATACTTGGCCACACGTCACTTCACTTTAAAAGCTGTCCAAACCTGCCTGGCACTACGTGAAAAAGTAATTGCCCCCTAAATCTAATAACTGGTTGTGCCACCCTTTGCAGCAACAACTGCAATCAAGCGCTTGCGATAACTGGCAATGAGTCTTTCACATCGCTATCATCAGTTCTTGAATTTCTAGATCGTGGCATGATGTGTTGCTCTTTAAGCATACTTCACTTTGTCAGACAGGTTCTTTTTAAGTGATTTCTTGATTCAACAGGTCTGGCAGTAATCAGGCCTGGGTGTGGCTAGTGAAATTTAACTCCGCTCTCCAAAATAATGTGGTTAATCACAGTTCTTCTATGATTTACCAGGAGGGGGCAATTAATTTTTCACGTAGGGCCAGGTAGGTTTGGACAGCTTTTTTCCCTTAATAAATTAAATCATCATTTAAAAACTGCATTTTGTATTTACTTACATTATCTTTGTGTAATATTAAAATTTGTTCGATGATCTGAATCTTTTAAGTGTTAAATATGCAAAAAAACAACAACAAAAAAACAGGAAGGGGGCAAAAACCTTTTCACGGCACTGTGAAGAATTTAGCAACCATTACTCCAGTCTTCAGTGTCACGTGATATTACAGAAATCATTCTAATATTTTTATTTGGTGCTCAAGAACCATTTCTAATGATTATCAATGTAAAAATACATTTTTCAGGATGAATAGAAAGTTAAAAAGCACAGAATTTATTTAAAATATAAAAATATATAATTTTCTTTAACAATGTAAAAGCCTTTATTGTCATTTTTGATCAATTTAATGCATTCCCAATTATATTATATTATATTATATTTTATATTATATGCAGTTAATTATTCTTCGATATCAACAGCTCATAAACAGGTCCACAACAGTTCATTATTGCATGTTTTAACACTCAACGCAAAGTCTCCAGCACTGAACTGGAATTCTCACTGGCTGATCAGTAAATAGCACCCAGGCCGTCTGTCTCCTGTGGGCTGGTGAATAATATTCATCCTCTTAAGTTACATGGATCCTCCTCAGACCTACTAATGTGATACTCACAGCAGATGTAAATCTACGTCTTGATTCAAATAAAGAATAACAGAACACTTCTTGCCTCCTTTACAGCAGGCCCATACACCTGTAAGGTACTTTTATAGAAAAGCCCCCTGTTGAGCCAAGCGGCAGCCAGAACAAACGTATTGGGTACCACCTGTCACTCCACAGTGACTGACTAGGCCCTGTGCTACTGGTCTTTTCCTGTAGACAAACAAACCTGCCATACACCTCTTGATTAGATATTCTTAGTAACCAGTACAGTGAGGCCAAACGGCTGTCAAATGTTGCAAATAAAAAGGCCTAGAAAAGCGTCAGAAGATTCCAATCTGCATTACGATACTGTTGAGGGTATATACACGTCACTATAATATGACTAACACTATGGACCACCTAGGATAGTGGCAGGACAGACATTCTTCCCGACCGCTGACTATGTTGGCAGAGGTGACAAAATGGCAGTGCATCATCTCTTTGTGGCATGTATTGCCACCGTTCGACCACTCAATCACTGTCTGACATTTTTTACACAAGAGGATCTATTTTTTCAAGACCCTCTAATGCCAGCAACATATTGGGGCAGTGAATCTGTCCTCACTAGACATCTGAGAATAGGTGCATGTGGACTGTGCTCTTATTTGAAGACACACTTCAACACAATCACACAAACAGATACATTTATAGTCAAACGCACTCATGCCGACAATATAATGTTCTCTGGTATGTTCTCATTATGATTTCAAGAAGTAAAATCTCTCTACTAGGTCAAATATGTGCGTTTGCAGAGCTAGAATTATTACAGTACAATGAGAACTCACCCTTCTGTGATATCTGACCTTCCTATCTTACAATAAAGCCCTCATAAACACCCTTTTGCACTCATTCATCCTTACTTCCTCGTATATATCGAACTACAATTTCACAGAACTAGCTGTTCAAGAGAAGCATTAGTCATCATGACTTCACGTCACACGCAAGAATAACAGCAGAACAAGAATGAATCGACTCGAGTGCAATGAACTGACAGCATACATTACGATCAATACTGTACATCTACATTGGAAATATGGATTTACATGATTCCTCAAAGCAGCATTGCAGAAAAACTACTAAATAATTCAGAAAAGAAATACCAATCACTTCTATGAGGCTCAAACTGCACATGCCCAATGCAAGTTTCCAAATCAAGAAGGATATAGCATAATGATAATAATACAGCATTATAATTTAGGAGAAGCATAATCATTATCATCATATGATGAATAACGTCGGTACTATTACATAACAAACAACTCTGGATCAGCGACAGATCAGCAAAGGATCAAGTACCAAGATAACAATGAATGAACAAAGGAACTACAAATCATCAAGTCACACTGTAGTGAAATGATGGATCATATTTTAAGTCTCATAATAAGAGAATTGGACAGTGATGTTTGCAAAATCTAAATTGAACTGAAACTGAATTTAATTGAATTCCAATATGAGTGAAACACTCACTCATTCTTATTCAAATGAAAATTTAAATTCAATTCAAAACTCAATCTACATTGATTGGTATGCGAGTAAATGCATGCTGAACTAATGAATCACTGTCTGTTTGGCCAAGATTTGGGGGTCTTACCCTGGAAACGGTGAGGGGCATGTTGAAGTCCTTGCCTCCTTGCAACCGGAAGCCCCAAGGCGAAGGTCCAGTGAGTGAAACGTTGTACGAACTCATTGTTCAAAAAAGCCTGTGTATTGTTTAAGCAACAGAATTTCTCCAAACGGATGGGGAAAAAGGATTTGGAGGGGGGCGGGGCACGTGCCAAACAGCTTCTGAAAGAAGAAGGGGGAAAAAAAGTGTAAAATGAAAGTAACACTCACACCTCTCCGATAAAAAAAAAAAAAACCTGCAGACCAAAAGGGTCAAAGTAACAGCTTAAAACAAGGAATTCAGGCCCAGCCAAACTGCAACTGATGCAAAATAACTGGAGCAACAGAGAAGAGCTATGAGCCAGAGGAAGAGGATTCTTGCCTGTTCAGATGAGCTGGACAGACAGCCTAAGAATAGCTGCCCCTCTGCCGAGAGCGATAGCACTATGGCATTTTGGGGAGGGGGGAGGAAGGGGTACTTATATGGCATGTAAGGGGACACCCAGAATGCCAGGCCTCCCATGATTCACAGAGCTAATATAGCCCCCTCTTAGGCTAAAAGATTTTTCTAGACTCCTTTCTTCTAGGCTGCCTCATCTATCTGGGTCCTGAGCTAGTTTTGGTTTGGGTTAGAGTTAGGCTTAACTCCTGGCAAGTGCAACCTGGCTGATTCTGAAAAAAGGTCAACAAAAGGTTAGAGTTAATTGGCAGCCCCTACGGACACAAACAAGCGTATCTAATTCATTCACAGTGCATTCTGGGATTGAACAGTGTCTCCTGTTTAAATGAAGTGTCTATCATCAATCTAAATACACTGAAATGTTAAAATACTCTACCAGGTCAGTAATACATTTAAAGAAATTTTACATTTTAATTTAAATAAAAACTGTAAGGTATTTATAATGTTACAAAAGATATAACAAATAGACATTTCATAGTTTTCAATGAAATATTAAGCAGCATTTCAACACCCATAATAAGAAATATTTTTTGAGCAGCAAATCAGCATATTAGCCCTCTGATTATATTATATTTTGAGGGAGTTACATATCTGTCCACTGTAGTGGACAGAATAAATAAAAAGACTGTAAGTATTGAAATAAATGATAAAATCTGAAGACTATGTAATATTTCTGTTTCTGTTTAAGTGTAAATTATATCATAATTTTAATAAAACATACAAAATAAGGCACAACCTATATATAGGCCCATAGGCAGAATTATACCCTTAGGCTTTTCCTGCCGCCATTTTGAATATATTATGCAAAATCTCAAAACAAAAAAATAGATAAAAAGACAACAATTAAATGGAATCGTAGACAACACTTTGGGGGTTCGCCAGTTGGTGGTTGGGACATGATGCTACATCTTAAATGGTTCAAAATGGCTTCCAAATAGCTGTAGTGACCACGATGCATCAGAGGGTTAGAATGACTTCTAAAGGATTATGTGCCACTGAAGACTGGAGTAATGGCTGCTGAAAATTTAGCTTTGCCATTATAGCAATAAATTACGTTTTAAAAGATATTAAAACAGTTATTTAAATCGTAATAATATTCACAATATTACTGATTTAATTGTATTTTTAATCATATAAATGCAGCCTTGTTGAGCATTAGAGACTTCTTTTTTACTCATTAAATAGTCTTACTGACCCCAAACTTTTGAATGGTAGTGTATCTTTACGAATACATTAACTTTGGATGCAATCAATCACTCTAAATTCATACTAACATTTAAAATATTCCACTGGCATTGTAATCATAATGCAGGACATAATTTTTTATTCTTTATTGCAAACAAACCGTGAATGGCATCTACATGAGATAATGTTATCCCAAGCATTCAGAGGCATCTGGAGGTTCTTTATGAGCAGCTTTAAACAAAGAACGAGTGGCAGTGAGAAAAGGCTGATATGCTCTTATTGCTCTCAGAGAACCGAGATAAGAGGACCTCTCGTGCACCAGCACATCACAAGCTCCGCACCGAGACATCGGAGGAAAGATAACCACTGAGGACCTGCCCGTTCGCCCAGCCTAATTTGGGAGACCTCTAGTTTGCAGCTAAGTTTAGCACTCTTTGTCAACGGAAGAATTTGAAGTAATACTGTACATGAATGTTCAACAATCAGGCCTTCATAGACAGCATTTCAGTGAACAAGCGTCCTGGACAGTTTGTGACATTGCTTTGATCATTTATATAGTGCTTGCCATTGTAGGCCTTGGCAAAGACAACATACTATTATTTAAAAACTTGCATTTAAAAGTATTGCACTTTAAAAAGATTTAAAGTATTTTCCGATTCAAGTTGATGTATCTTTTCTAACCAGACATACTGTATGGTATGATACAATGCTATGGTATGTTATATTACAATGGCGTATATATATGGTTATATATATATATATATATATATATATATATGTGTATGTATGCGTGTATGTGTGTGTGTGTGTGTGTGTGTGTGTGTGTGTGTATATATGTATTTGTATATATGTTATGCATGTTATGTATATATGTATATTATATCTTATCTCTTATGCTTACTAAGACTTTGGTGCTCAAGAACCATTTCTAATTATTATAAATGTAGATTTTTTTTTATTTTTTTTTAATACATTTTTCAGGATGAATAGAAAATTCAAAAGCACAGCATTTATTTAAAATATAAAAATATATAATATATAAATACACATCTGTGTATATAAATATATATATACACACACGGATTAATTTTGTATTCATCACATTAATTTTATGTTCATAATAATTTTTAAATAGACCACATTATCACTGAATACTGATGACCTTACAGCAGATCAAATGAGAGTTAGTACATTATTTGAACCACCAATATGAATATACACAAACGCAACGCAACAGGATATTGCACTAGTTGATTTATGGTTATTTGGTCAGTTGTGTGCATGCATACAGAGAACAGCTGCCACCTGAAGACAACATGTATCCCACCTCAGTTACAGCTTTACACTTTTACACCTTTTCACCATGCACAGTAGTGAATTACATGTAGCTACTACAATATAAGCAACTATAATTGATCCATCTTTGACCAGATAGAAACATGCAAAACATGTAAATAATGTCCCATGCAAAACTACACACATCATGAAAGAAAAAAAAAACACTTCAAAGAGCTTGAGCGTCACTCAATCAGTGTTGCCAGAAGCCAAAAGCAGACAAATGCACCTCACACAAATTCAAAACAATAACAGACAAGCCACTGACTGCAGAATAGTCTATATTTAGACTCGAAGTAATATGTAGTAATATATCGGTAGGAATGGAAGAATGGGGAAACTATGAATGAAGCCCTAACTGAGAGACGATGCTTTTAGAAATGGTTTCACGCGACTGCAGCCACTGAGCGTCTCGAGTACAGTGTCATGCCTGTTGCCTCCATTTCCATTCAACAAACCATTAAAGACAAACAACTTCTCAAAGTTTTGCTTCAACCTACATTGCATGCTTAAAAGTTGCTTTATACTGTCACTCACACCAGCCAGATCCCTGGAACCCCCGGTGTACGTAAGCACACGGGACGCAAATTGACCAATCATACTATGCTGAAGGATTTTCTCATGAATATTAATTATAGAATGTGGCGTTCCCCCAGTAGGCCTCCCTGATTCGCTGGAATGCATACGCCGAGCTAATCACCTGGCGAATTAACGAATCATCATATGGTGAGCGTTTGGCTCATGAATATTAATTAGCTTTTGCGACTGATGTGTTAGTGGAGTTGCCAAGCAACACAGCATGACCTGATAAATATTAATGAGTAAAGCCTTTCCCCCCCATAGTAGGATTCGTAATTTCCCACACGGGACGGGGAGACGGAGGGCGAGGGATTTTCATTAGAGAGGAACTATTAAAGAGATAGTCGTCCCTCTGTTGCCCTTGTCAACTGTTTTGAAAATAAGTCAACTTAACATCTGACCTATAAAAAAGCCCCAAAAGCCATCAGACATTATGCAGCGCCCTATATTTAATTCACTAAACTTAGTTCTCAGCCCTATTTAAAATAGGTGTTTGAGTTAAACCTAGAAAAAAAAGCATCTTAAACCAGCATAAGCTTGTTTGCTGGTCTTTAAACTGGTCTAGTTGGTCTCCCAGCTAAATTGGTTCTCTTAGCTGGTCTGCAAACTGGAACTCCAATTTGACCAGCTGAAAAGTCCCCTAAAAAGCAGTGGAGCATAACTGAGAACTAAATGTGATGAATGAATGCTATTTATATCTGCTGATGTACAGGTGGCACAGTTTGGAGATTTGCGGAGAACAGTGGACCCCAGAGGACACGTCAGTCACAGTGACTGAATGAATAACTGCTGTTAGTGACACACTTGAGAGGGTTTTGCATGCCACATGATCAGGTTATGATGCAGATCCTGCTTCCCTAGAGCACATCAGTCAGTAACTGCCAGAGTTGGGACTCAAAACATATATTTAGTTTTTCATGCTCAGATACAGCATACATTACTTACAATCTGATTTTTCCATGAATCACATTGACACACTGATGTAAATGCGTAATGCTAGATGGATTAATATGAACTTTTAGACATGAGAAACTTTTTATTTAAAGAGAAAAGAGTGCTAAAACACACACTTTTGTTACTTTTCCAACCCATAAAGGAATATTGTGCGGACGTGTGCAAGCATTTCTTGCTGTAATGTTTAATGTCATATATGTGTGTTTTTTCAAGAGCCACTGCTGAATTGGCAAATGGCACATTGCCCACAGGAGGGCATTGTGTGAAAGAGCAGATGGTGCATTGTTTAAAAATGACAACCTGCTTCATAGTTGCAATGAAAGGACTCAGTGTAAGAGCATTTTAACCACGTATCACAGTGCACACACAGACATGATTACATGAATAATGCTCTCATTTACCTTTGAGAAGAAGACATGACTGAGATGGAAATCCACACATTTTACACTCACATGCCCAATATTTCTAGCCTTTACTGAACCGAATTCCAGAGTATGCACTATTGTTCAGACGTTTGGGGTAGGTAAAATTTGTTAAGGTTTTTTTAATTGTCTCTTATGCTCATGGCTGCCTTTATTTGATCAAAAATATAGTAAAATAAACATTATTACTGTCAACATTACAATTTAAAAGATCTGGGGGTTTTTTCAATATATATTTTTCAAGATTCCTTGACAAATAAGAAAATAAAAAACGTTTTTGAAATGTTTTTGTAACAATGTAAAAGATTTTATTGCCACCTATTAATTTTAATTTAACCAGTTGAATGCATCCTGGGTGAATAAAAGTACTAATTTATTTTTTTTAAATCTTACTGATCCCATTTTTTACAGTAGTGTACATCAGTCTGTATTTGTTTGTCC